GCATGAGGCCCTCCTAGTGACGCACCGACCCAAATTTAGGCCCCCGTTTTCCGTGCGGCAAGAACCCCAAATCCACCGTTGGGAACCACCAACAATGAGCACAGCAAGGCAGGTGAGCCAGGCGCCGTTTACATCCGACCCAACGACGCACTAACTGAATCCACACTGGAAGCAGTAGCCCGCTCGTCGTCACTAGCGACTCTCTTGATGCGTTCATGCAGGATTTCTGTGTGTCGCTTCAGGCTTGGGCGAAACGAGCTTGCATGACAGGCAAATCACGGTAACGCACACAAGGTCGTATCCTCGAACCTTGGAACAAGGTGAAGGGAGACCACCAGCAGAGCATCTATTGAAATGTCCCGCCATTTATGCAAAGAGAGAAAACTTCATTCAGCTGTGGCATTAGGACGAACCCTTCACCACTTCCCGCTTAATCAACTCGATCTGCCCAATGCATGTCTGCAACGGAACTAATCCAACACGAATGGTCACGCTGCTCTCTAAGTGTGGCAGGCGAAATGCGATTTCGTGCAGCGAATGATAATGAGGGCGAAGTGGAATTTCAGGGTCCGCTGCGTAAAGATATGCAGGGGATCGTACTTTCAAGAGGGCATCATTTTTGGCGGTGACAAGGCTGCGAAAGACTGCGGCTAGTACCAGTGCGAGTAAAAAGAGCACAATCCGGTTCTTGCGGATGCCTCGGCTGTGAGTTTCCCCATCTCCTTCCGGTCCCCATGGCTGCTGAGCCGGAGCATCCGCTGGAACCACTTGAACGTCAGTATCTGCCGAAGTGGCGGGCCCTGCATTAGAAGCTGATGCCACCGCAGCTAGCAAGCTTATCAAAACAAGAAGCAAAAGTTTCGCCACCTGGAGTATTGAGCTGCTGACGCTGCATTGCCCAATGTCGGAAATCCGTCGATTGCTGCGAGCCATGGTGCCTCAGAAATCTTGTGTCTGCGGCCTCTACAGAATTATGCAATGCTAGAGTTTGCGGCAAGAAAGCAATGCATTATTCAGAATGAATATCAAATGTGCTGAAATCCACATGTACTTCAGAGGCCCCGCAGTGATCGGTCCGACTCCAGTCCGGGCTACCAGAGGGCCACTCTAATGGGAGCGCTTCTAGCTCAAGATCGTTTAGCTCTCCTTGGCGAAAACTATTGTTTTCCAACTTATTTTGTGGAGCGTGAGCAACTCTAGACTAACGAAGAGGGGTGTCAGGGGGATTTCGTGATGCATTCACGCTGTTAGGCAGCTTGCAGGAGTCCGTTGGCAGGGCAGGGTGTAGTAGAACTTTGCCCCGAATGCAGCATCCTTGGCAGCATTGGGCAGTGAAAATCTGTTTGATCATATCCTTTTACGCATTATTTGCTTCTTGCCGATGCTGCCGGCGAATGAACTATATTGGATCCGGCGCTAAATTTGAAGACACACCTTTGTGATACTATTTTCTCTACACCAAATTCCACCCAAGCTTCTTCGACCTGCAACTCTTTGTAGGTGGTTTTTTCACCAGTACACCTTGAGGGTTGTTTCTGCATACTTCTTTACGAGGGGGAGTTTTTGCCTCCTTGCGAATGATCCGAGGGTGGTTCCGTTCTATTGTAGCGATAGTCAGCAGCCTCATACTTTAGAGAGGCTTTCTTGTGAATTTAGAACCTGGTTTTTTCGTTCTGTGGGATAACTGATTGCGTGGACCCTGCGGCAGTGGATTGTGTTGGCGGTGGCGCAGAATTACCAGTGCTAACTGTGCTAACTAAATATCCGTGCATAGGTGTGCGTCAGTAGTGGCAAATATAGAAAAATGGCACTTTCAATGCGGAAATACCGCAAATGATCCGAAAAACCTTAGTTTAGCACCAAAGTATCCCTCATAGTCCTATCCCTGCACCTGCCGTCACACTTCAGAAATCCATCGTCCAGCGCAGAGCCTTGTCTATGCATTCTAGCCTCTTCCATACTACTAGTTGAAGATCCAACGCATCAAGACCTTCACGGAAACTTAGTTCCTGACCAGGTGCCTAAGCGCTCACCCTGTCGTACTCACCAATAGCTTCTTAATGTGCCCATTGCAAAGAAAAATTCAATATATATGCTATCATGGAACAAGCCTAGAAAGCCCTCCCCAAAGCCAGCTAGTTAAGATTTTGAGGTGTTCCTTGTTGTATCAATCAAAAGCAATTCCGTCTACCTCGTGAACGCCCTACCCATACCATGCAAGCATTCTATATGTACTCGCTTAACGACGCAATCGGCTCATGCAACCTCAAAACCTCAAAACACCATGAGGAATAACTCAACGTAGGCACGCCCCCTTCAACGCCTTTACATCTCCAACATTCATAATCCCCTTGGAGCGTCCACGCTTTCTTTGATCCATCATTGGTATCATTGACACCATATAAAAGGAGCAACCAACAACAACTGGCCCCTTCGCAGTGAAAAGCGTGCCACACCACAGGCGTGCAGAAAACCTAACAGGATTCTGCGTGGCCGCCCGGCAGACCCGGTTACGCTTAACGGTGCAGGTACACCTTGACAATAGAATACCCACAAACAACCGAACTAGTGGAAGCCAGAGCCAAACCCCTCGAAATGCGCTGCCCCTCAACAGCCTAATCTCTTCCACAGGCGCGCTGTTGTGCCACCAGTTTGAAAACTCGGCACGAGCGCCCAAGATTGCATGCAGCATACCGAATCAAGCACCAAGTAAAGAAGCCCGCTGCTTGGCAAAATGAAGATCGCAGTACCAAGGTGTGCTCCTTCGCCTCATGCGACAGTGGCTATATATAGCTTCTGGCTACAGAAGCAAGGGTTATGCAATTGCCGCAGCCCTCGACCAACGCTACCAGTAAAACACCTGGCATGATACCATAGGGCAAGGGGAGATAGTTAAAAACTGCAAAAAACCTGGCACCTGGGGAAGAGGTGTTATTCCTGTACATTGCATTGTCCGAGAGCAGCATCACAATGGCCCACGCGTGGCGTATCCGCGCCTGGCAATAAATCTGGTTGGTCTGTAAAAGCACTACCGTAGCGTAGCAGTGACAGGCGCACAAGCGGTTTCCACGGACAATGCAACACCTCCAATAGTGGAATGGTGCGACGCAGGCCACGCCATGCAGTTGAGCACTTCAGGCACTTCTACAGGGGCTTATAGACTGCAATGCAGCCACTTCCCCGGCATGCAATATCTCCAAAAGCACACCACAGGAAGCGCAACGCCTGCACGCCTCGCCGTAGCCCGCCACCCTCCTCGAGCCAGAAGCCCGCAGTATGTCAAGTGCAGCACTCTTTAACCCTTGCCAATCCACTTCAGACCCTATCCTCCAGCAGCCTCTTAAAACAGAATGACTCTCCAGAATTAGCAGCAGCAGCACAGCCAACCCCGCGGAAAGAGACACAGCCAGTACAACTTGGGGATGAGCAGTGACGCCCCCCCTTATGCAAGAATGATAAGAGCTAAGGCTGTCTAAGTTGTGCAGCGTCTATATTCAGGGCTAACAATGAAACAAAAAAGCATTTATTTTTCCTGAGAAGAAGGCCAGCGCCTGCGAAGGGTAATGTCGCTGGCTGTGACTGCTGCTGCAGCTGCTGGCACCCACCGCCAGCAGCAGCCGCTGCTGCGCGCCGCAGCAGGGGCTGCAGGACCAACACTAGCTGGAGCAGGACTAACTTAAATCCGGTTTCCGTGCTGTCTGCTTTACTGCTTGTGGCTTTAAACAGACTGCCGAGGCGCCGCCGCAGCAGCGAGTAGTGCTGCTGTCGCGCGGCAGCAGCAGCAGCCGGGCTGTGGCGCCACACCACACGGGTAGTTGCTGGCTCCGTGCAGTTCCAGACAAAGCAAGATCTGCATGTTTTGCGGTTTACAAACAACAGCAACAGCAGCAAGAGCAGCAAGAGCAGTAGCAGTTGCGGGAGGCCCTTGCGTCAGAGTTTCACGGAGGCCGCCGGCCCCTACGGAGGGGCGTTTTTAGGAGGTGCTGTTTCCAGCTGTACACCTCATTACTGCTTTACTTATTCCCTCTTCAGTGTCCCCTGTGTCCTCTGCTATTGCTGCAATAGCTGCTGCTTGTTCTTGCTGTGGCCTGGCCTACCGCCTGGGTCTTCGGAGGGCTTCATGTTCTGTCGAGTCTGCCTTCATGTTCTCTTTAGGCTGCATCTGTTTGTCGCTGCTGCTGGTTGACCCGTTGAGTAGACCTCCCATTCCTTCTCCTACTTAATGCTCTTTCTGTCAGAAGCAGCGGCTTCGTTCCTGCTTCACCAGCAAGCCAACCGCCTCGCGCAGCCTTGGCTTTCTGGTGCTTTAGGTCGGCGCTCACTGGCTGCCGCTGGACTTGCTGGCCTGATTTAGCGCATTTCGTGGATTGAGTTTCCATCGGACCTTCTGGACTGTACCGCAACAGGCGCAACAGCAGCGGCCGTAGCCGCAGCGACTTACCACTTTATGGTTGCGGGACGCTGCATTATGTTGGCAGAGCCGGTTGGGGGCTTGGGTATTTGCTTCAGCGTGTCCGACTGAGTTCTCCAGCTTGCATCTTAGCTGCAGTGGCGTGTGTCTTGTAACCGCAGCAGCCACTTCAGCTGGGAGAGCAATAGCAGCAGCAGAAGGCGTAGTGCATCTTCGGGCTCTTTATGCCTTGGGATCAGACGTTGCAGCCGTCTGCGTCTATTACTTTATACGGCGATAACAGGACTCCCACAGCATTGGCTGCAGCGGCGTTTGAACCGCTGGCCTCTTCTGCAGCTGCCGAGGTGAAGTATCAGCAGCGTTTTTTCCCGCGGGAACCGGGGCCGGAGCAGTGTGGCAGCAGCTGCTCTCTGGTATTTGCCAGTTGCGGCAGAGCTGAAGACTGAGTGGCCTTTGTGTCAGCTCATCTGGGCATTTCACTCTTCCCCAGCAGTGGGTGGAGCGAGCTATGTGCGCCAGAGAGTTAAGCAGAACACAGCAACGGCTTCTTGTGTAGCAGTGGAGTAGCACTGGCAGCAGCCTTCGGGGAATGGTACAGCCAGCAGCTGCAGCGGCTGCTGCAGCGGCAGATGGTGTTCCTGTTGCTGCTGCGGGGGCGGCTGCCGCGGGAGCAGGTTCACGGGAGCACAGCAGCAGCAGTGGGTGGACCGACACCGCGAGTGTAGATTCTGCTTCAAGTGCCGTGATGCCACCGAGGCGTAGTGGAAGTGCTGCAGACAAGAGAGGGTTCAGCGAGTCGCCGCCAGGGGCCTTATGGGCCTCGCCGGCGTATGAAGCTCGGGAGCCTGGTGAGGGAGCAGAAGGCCAGCTGGCTTCACCGTATTCCTCGCTGCAGCAGACGAGCAGCCGCAGCAGCAGCTGCAGCAGCCGCAGTAGCCGTAGCAGCTCGGGCGCCGGGTCTTCTGGGGTTCATGCGCGTGGTAGCCGCCACGGAGGAAGCAGCAGGTCTGGTGCCGTTGGTGCCGAAGGGGGTCCACGCGACTGTGAGGAGGGGGCTCCTGAAGGGGGGGATCCTTCTGCTGACAGCGACGTGTACTTCACAGAGAGCGACGATGAGGACCATCGGGAGTACAGAAGCGGCGGCTATCACCCCGTATCTGTGGGGGAGATTTACGCGAACAGGTACCGCATTGAGGCGAAACTCGGCTGGGGCCACTTCTCGACAGTCTGGCTCGCTACGGACCTCAAGTGAGAGTTGCTTGATACCCTGAACCCTGCCTGATCCCACCCCTCAAAAAGCAAGGGCAGCAGATGACGGCATGCTGTGGCACACAATAGGAGGGGCTGAAGTGGGCGCTAGTGTGGTTTCCTTTTATGGGCTTAGGGTCATGGCATCCCCGACCAGCCGTTGCTGCTGCTGAACTGAAGCGCGGTGCTTGGTGTGTAGGGTTGGGAGGCTGTGCTTTTTTGGGTCTGTTGCTACTGCAGGGCTGTTCCCCTCGAGTTTGTGGCGCTGAAGTTCCAAAAGAGTGCCCGGCACTATACGGAGGCGGCGGCAGACGAGGTGCAACTGCTGACCAAAGTCAAGGACGGCATGCGCCACCCCTGTTGGAGAGAAGCAGCCAAGTCTTTCTCGGTGAGCGTCTTGTGTTTAGGGTTTGGGTTTTTTTATCGTGGCGAGCCGCTGCTACCGCAACAACGGGAGTGTAATCTTCCTCTTCAAGTTCGTTAGCGTTATGGCTGTGCTGGTGCTTCTGCAGAGCGCGATCCGTGAGCGCCACGAGGCAGCGGGTATGCCGTATGAGCCTCCGCGGAAATTGCCGCTTCCTCCAGTGGTGTTGTTTAAGGAGCAGTTCCAGCACACGGGACCCAACGGCGAGCATATGTGTCTTGTCTTTGAAATGCTAGGTGAGGGAGGCGACCGTCCCCAATGTGACCAAACTGAACTGAAAAGAACGGTGACTCCCAAGCGGGTGTGTGGCTTCTGGCAGGATGGTGTAGGGCTGAAGGCACGAGACGAGAGGCGTGTGCGTAAGGGCTTAGGGTAGAGAGTGTATACCGTGTGTGGCTTCTACGCGTTAGGTCCGAATTTGTTGTCTCTGATAAAACGCTACAACTTCCGGGGTTTGCCGCTCCCTCTGGTGCGGCGCATAGCACACGACATTCTGCACGGACTGCACTATCTGCACGACGTTTGCGGTATTATCCACACGGATCTCAAGCCCGAAAACGTCTGCGTGTCGGCCTATCCGCTGCCGCCCCCCAACCCTCTGGTGGCTCCCGTGTCTTCGGGCCAGCAGCAGGAGCAGCAAGAGATGGAGGGTCTCACTGCAGAGATGCGAAAGAGACTCAGAAAGAAGAGTAAGCGTCGTGCTGTTTGACGAGGTTTTGCGTATTCTTGCTGCTCCGGATACCTCCCCTGTGCATTGCACGTTAGTCGTGCTGACTGTTTGCTTTTGCTGCGCTGCTGCTGCCGTGTGTGTCAGAAAAACGAAAGCAGCAGCGCCTCAAAAAGAAGGCAGCAGCTGCTGCTGCAGCAGCTGCTGCTGTGGGTGAAGAGGAAGCTGCCCAGTCCGAAGAGGAAGGGGAGGGGGAGGAGGAGGAAGAAGAGGGGGAGAAGCAGCAGCGGGAAGCAGCAGGGGCAGTGGAAACTGCTTCTGCGAGTGCAGCAGGCGCAGCTTCAGGCGCGGCAGTTGCTGCAACCGAAGCAGCCAGCAGCAGCAGCGCGGCACAGCAGCAGGAGGGAGGAACAGGAACAGTACGTGTCCCGTACGTAAAGCATTTGCTGAGGCCGAGCCGGTCGGACCCTTCACTGCTGACGTCTTACACGGACGAGATCCACGCGCTGCAGGGCTCTCTTCAGAAGTGAGCCGGCAGAAACCCGATCTCTTGAAAGCTAAGGCCTACGGTCTAAACCCTAGAGTTGCGTTACAGCCCTAAACCCGAGGGCTTTGGCTTGAAGAGTGCTTACAGCACTATGAGGGTCCGTGGGGTGTGTCGAACGGCTGCAGGAGGTAGCGGATGTTTAAGTGCTCATTGTTGATGCTGTCGGAAGTCTGTTGCGTGTGGGCGCTGTGCAGACACGTGTATAATTACGTGGGATACTCGCAGTATCAGCCGCAGTCGGCGTATTGCTGCCCTAAAACAGGCGGTAGGATTCTGTACTGGCTGCCTAAGGAGAGGCCTGAAGAGGAGGCCCTGCGAGAGGGGGGAGAGGAGGTGGAGGGAACGCGGAGCCGCCTACCGCTGCTGCACGACGAGTTGCTGCTGCATCCGGCAGCAGATAGGCTCTACAACCAACGAATGAAGGAGGTGGCGCGAACCAGTGACAAACGAGATGCCCATGGCCATCTGCTGTATGGCCCTTATATCAAACTCGAAAACGAAGAGCAGGCTGAGAAGGACATGACCGTTGTTCAGACTTCGGAAGGACCTATTTGCATCAAGTCAGCACAATATCATGCAGTTGCTGCCTCTCCTGTTGCTTTTTCGCACGGTGTTCTGTCGCTCTTGTCCGTGCCTGTCTGTCCGTGGCAATGCATAGCGTTGCGTGTTGTGCACCCGCGTTAATGGAGAGACCACCTTATCCTGTCTGTGGTTGTTTGCGCGTGCTGCGGCCACAGGCCTTTGCCCCCCAGTTCATTTGCATTTGAGCATCCAAATGCGGTGTACAAGTTGTGCGACTTGGGGAACGCGTGCTGGGCCCAGGAACACTTCACCGATGATATTCAGACTCGCCAGTACCGCTCGCCAGAGGTCCGCTTCCGTTGCGCCTTTGTATTTCGCTGCTCCACCTGAGTTGCCACTGCCGGGGAAGGTCCAGTCTGTTCAGTCTTCAGCCCTTAGACGCGGCCGGGTATCCGCTGCGCTTGCGCTTCCTCTTGCACTGATTACGAGCTGCTCTGGTTGTTGTGGCTGCTGTGGTGTTTTTTTTTGGCATTAGGTGATAATTCGCGCAGGATATGACTGCACGGCGGACGTGTGGAGTTTCGCCTGCATGGTGTTCGAGTTGGTGACGGGGGATTATCTTTTTGACCCGAAAAGCACCGGCGACTTCGACAGAGATGAGGACCATCTCGCTCTGGTGCGTCTTCGTTGTGTTTGGGGATGAGAGCACGTTTGCATGCACTTCAGTGTTTGGGCCATTCAAAATATGTTGTGCGCTGGGATGACTGGGGGATGTCTTTGTGCACGCAGATCATCGAACTTGTGGGGCCTATGACTTTGAATTTTGTCTCCCGCGGCCGTCACTCGCATGTAAGCGCAGCCGCCAAGGCCCTGCACATCGCACATGATAGATTTGGCGTGCAGTTGCGCGGCTGTAGGTTCTTTTGTCTTTTTGTGGTTGTTAGAATATAGGGTGTGTTGCTGAGCTTCTGGGATGTGACGTTATCAGTGGAACGTCGTTCGTTTAGGGTGTAGCCTCGGAAGATTTAGGGTGTTGCGTCAGAGGATTTACATGGGTCGGCACGGCGTAGGCTTAAGGCCTTCGGACTCAGTTTGCTTATGCTTTCAAGATGCGACTGGATGGGTTTGGTGTTTCAGCGCTTCTTCCGGGAACGCTCGACGGAGTTGCGACGAATCGACGACCTGCGGTTTTGGCCGCTTGTGGCGGTCCTTAGAGAAAAGTGAGTTTTGGATATGGGGTTCAAGGGGATCAGATTTAGAGTTGCTGAGGAGGCGGGCATGAATCGTCGGTGACAGCTGGTAGGGTGTGTAAACAGGTTCACCATATGCAGGTTACACAGGGTAGCCTGTGCTCAGATGTAGTGTTTCAGGAGTATTAGGTAGTGCGGTCGTTGCGCCTTGGTAGCCTTTGGGCGGCTCCCGCGGTTGCGTACTGTTTCATTCCTACTTTTTGCTTTTGGCGTTCGCGCAGATACCACATGGGAGAGGCGGAGGCTGTGGCGCTGTCTGACTTTTTGGTACCCATGTTGGCGCCCGACCCGCTGAAGCGCCAAGGGGCAAAACAGATGCTTGACCACCCGTGGCTGCGAATGCGTTCCCCGGAAGACGAGCTGGCCTACTGCGAGATGGTCAGTACACGCTTTATTCACACCACACGGGGCAAGGGTGGGGGCGAAGCTGCTGCTGGTGCTACTGTTACTACAGCCGCTGCTGTATGCAGAACGAGCTCCTGAGTAGAGCGCCTTCAGTTAAGGAGGAATATGGGTATTATGGGGAAGGCTTTAGGGTTTGCTGTCCTGGTTGCTGCAGCGCAACAACATGCACGTCTCCAGGCCAAACCTGGATGCGCCCCTCCTTTCTCTGTCTCCTGGGCACTCACCGGCCGATCTTGCAGTGGGACCCAATGCCTTGTGGTGGGTAACCTCCGCAGGAGTAACCACTAGCAACGGCGGCAGCACCTGTGGCTGCCTGCATGTTTAGTGCAGTGGTCCCCTTCAGTTTAGTCGCCGCGCTTTGCGCTAAAGCTGGGGTATAGTGTGCGTGCGCTGCTGCTGCTGCCTACGCTTTTGTTTTTGGTGCAGTACCCGTCGCCCTGAAGACGCTCATGGGTCCGCCCCTCCAGGAACTGCTGGTGCGGGGTGTATGTACAGCTCGGCCCCGGGATATGGCCCTTCGCCTCCCGTGATTGGGGTGTCGTCGCCCTACGCGCTACAGCAGCACCAACAGCAGTTGCAACAGCAGCAGCAGCTCCAGCAGTTGCAGCAGGAACAGCAGCATCTCTATGGCTCTGCTCCAGTGGTTCTACCCGCCGGTGGAAGCCCAGTTGACCCGAGCAGTGAGCTCTACACGCTGCAACGGCAACAGTTGCTGCAACAGCAGTTGCAACAACAGCAGCAGCTGCAGCATCTACAGCAGCAGCAGCAGTTGCAACATATGCAGCAGCAGCAGTTGCTTATCGAAGGACTGGGGCGTCATGTTGAGGGAGAAAGGAGCAAGACGACACAGTCTACTGTTGGCATCCTTGGCGTTGTGTAAGCTGCTTCTGCTCTGCTGCTGTTGCTGCATACGAGCGGCTTTGACTGTGTTGGGGAAACGCCTGGAGGGTTGCAGGATCGTGTACTTTGTTTGTCTTTTGATTGTTCAGCGGGGGGAACAATACAGGCTGCAGTAGCACGGCAGTGACAGCGGCAAGCAGCAGCAGTGGCAGAACAGGTGCAACTACAGCACCGGGAGCAGCAGCAGCGGCTGCTGCTGCCTCTGCTGCGAGGATGTTGATGGGCTACCAAGGAGCAAATGATCCTCAGTACTTTCGAGCAAGCAGAGACTGTTGGGATGGTCGGGGCGTTCCAGCCTTTCCACCCATTGGCAGCAACAGCAGCAACAGCAGCAGCAGCAGCGCTGGTAGTTTACGTCCGGAGACTGGCGGAGTGGAGTGGATGGTTCGCGGATTCCAAACTCCAGCGGTAGGTGCTGCGGGAGACGCTTCCCAACAACAGCAACCTCAGCAGCAGCAGCAGCAGCAGCTTCCTTCTACAAGTGGGAGCGCCTGCGGCTCCTCTGCCGACAAGCGGCCTGACGGCCTCCACCAAGGGAGTGGCGCGCGGGTCTCTGCAAACCCGGCGGAGACAGAAGCCCATGCTGTTACTGCGCCTGCAGGAGGTGAGGCGAGTTGGCTGGCCACGCACAGGTGGCTTCATGGAGAGCTTTCCGACTAGTCACTCATTCACACATCTGGGTAGCTTGTTAGGTAGTCAGCTGGTGCCTCAACTGGCTAGTTGAAATGCTGGATTTCACGTTCGCACTGAAATGGCGGGTGTGTAGAGGTGGAAGTTGTGAGTGGAGCGTTGTGCATTGGGCGAAAACATAAGGCCCAACAGACGCATCAAACCAAGCGACCAGCCGTGTGCCCCTGGCATGCAGGATGCAGAGGGCCGTTTCCCGCGTTGCGTGGGTCCGCCTGGGTGTGTCTTGCGTGTATGTGTCTACACTTATATGTGTAGATGCGCACATCTCTGTCTATGCCTATAGGGAGATTCATCGATCGGGGATGTATGTGCTTGTTTCCATACTGTTCGGCACATTCGTTCTGTTTCTTCGTTTCTTCTGGGCATAGGGATGGGGATCTAGTGGGTTTGGGTGCGGGGTTTTGGCTTTCCATGAGTAGTGTCCATATCTGGTGGTTCATATTTGGCCTTATGTTGCTGCTGCTGTGCTCCTGCTGCTCAACTGCCACGCAGATTGGGGAAGTGTAGGCGGGCCTGTGTCTTGGCTACCGGAAGCGGCCGTGATGCAGCAGCAGCAGCAGCAGCTCGAGCAGCAGCAGCAGATGCGGCAACACGCACAGGAGATGCAGGAGAGGAAGCAGGAGTTCTTGCGTCAGCAACAAGAGCTTAACAGAATGCTTAAGGGGGTGCAGCAGCTGCAGCATGGTTTATCAGGGAGCTCTTGAAGCAACACCAGGTGGAACAGTGAAAGCAAAAGGCGCTGAACCGTCCGACCGCCCCCCCCCCTCCAATGGCCTTAGTTGGCAGAAGACCAGAACTAGCGCTTTTCGTTGCATTGCGCATCAGCTGCAGCTGCAGCAGCTGGTACACCAGCAGCTGCCGCTCCAGCTGATGCAGCAGGTGCTGCTGCGTCAGCTGAGTGGAAACTGCAGGGCCTTTCTTCCCCAGCAGCATAGAGCAGCAACAGGGGAGCTCGAGGGCAATACGACCCTTGCAAGGCTTTTTCTCGTGCCAAATATCTACACCGCTGCAACGCTAACTGCAGCAGCAGCGGCACCAACAGGTGGGGCCGTCCGCAGCAGTTACAACAAAAGCTGTTTGGGAATACAGGATGCCCCGCAGCTGCTAAGGGGGCCTTGAATTTTGCGTGTGTGGCTACCACCGCTTCCTGTGGCAGAAGAGCAGCAGCAGTAGCAACAGGAGGCGGAGTACGGCACGTGCAAGAGATTATTTTGTCTCCTAATTGGAAATTAGCTGCTGCATCTGTTGAGCTGGGCTAAACAACATTTTCCGGGCTGTTGATTGTGTTGGGAACACAACCCCTTTGATTGCGTCAGCGTGAGCGGTGTGGCGCCGCAGCAGGAGGGAGTCCGGGGTGCGAACACCGCAGTCAAGTCGTACTGCTGGCGACGAGAAGCAAGTCAACGATACACCTGAAGGTGTTTGTAATAATTATTTATCTACGTGCCACCAGCTTGGCAACAGGTCTTAAGCGGGAAGCGTTGAAGCATTGCAGCAAAGGACGAACAGGAACGAACGCATCTTAGTCTTCGATTTGTTTCAAAAGAACTGAGTAGAAAGTATGGTTTTAGGAAGTTGGTCTGCAGTCGAAGGCGTTCGTAACCGTAGGCGCAATAATTGAATACGTAAAGGTAGTAGATTGGTGTAGTAGAAATGGCTGCAAGGGGATAGGAACTGGAAATAGTTACTTAGGGGGTATCCGTTGGGGCAGTCCAGCCCCACCCGCCCAGTGGCATTGTACGTGGTGGGAACAGGAACAGGAGGAGGCAATAGAATGCCCAATACTGTAGTATCTTGAGAAGATATTGTACAGGGCACGTGTATGATTTCCAACGCAGTACTTGGGCTAGAGCTCAGAGGCGAGCATGGAATCATGAACGACTGTTAACGGTGGGGGGTGACACCTAGGGCTGGGCTGCAGTTGAGGGCTGTGGTGCGCATCTCATATGCCGTTGCACACTTCCCTATGATCTCGAGAGTTTCGAGCCACGGACCCACCGAGAGGGAAGCGCATCCACTGCAGGCAGCCCGTTGGTGGGAAGGAATTAAAAGGGCGGCACCAAAATGTACGATACGGAGTGGGGACTAGTGCCTTTCCCTGTCTCCCAGAAAGGCATTACTGCCTTTATAATTGTAAATTGTAAGGATGGCATAGTGAAATGACCGTCATCAGTGCTGTGCTGTAGGCGTCATGCCAAAGGCTTGAATATGCGCAAAACAGGGCCGAACTGCTTAAGTGCTTGATATGAACATATGTTTGAGAAGCACGATTAGGCATTGATCGGGCAAGAAAATTTCAGGGTTTTACTTCGCGGTGAATGTAATTAGTTTTTGTTCGACAGCGATTGCCTATTCTGCTGACCAATGCCGCTCCTCCATTCGGGGCTTAGGAGTCCGTCGACGTCGTGCACAACATCACTACCACACACAGAAATTTTTGGGTCTAATAGAATAAGCACTGCCAACGTTGCCGGTACTGCCCGCGAAGCACAAAATTATTTACACCCCGTAGGTAACTTGGTAGTGGCATGCGCTCTGGTTAGGCTCATCAGCATCTGCTCACGACAGGCCAATGCCTCGCTGCTTTCTCCCGCTACTTCCACCTGTGATGTGGTCTCCTGCGCGCCCCCTGGGATGCGGGCGCGAAGTCGCGCGTTGAAGGCATACTGTGCATCTCTTTTCCAGCCTCGGGTTGTACGCTCTAGCATTTTTCACTGTATGTAACTATCCTGAGCGCGTTCTATCAGATGTCAGGTAGTTCAGTGTTTCTACGCTACGCTCGAACCTTTCCCACGAGCGGGACGAGGAGGCTTGCCGAGGAACGAGGCAGTCAAACACTGCTTCGGTGCGTTTCTGCTTGTTCTTGCGGACGAATGCCAACTATTTTAATGCTGGGAAATTAGAAACTTAGATTATTGTAAGGATAGAGCACCAGTCTAGTTTGCACTTGTAGGCGCTGCAGCATGGTCTGCACAAAGTTAGTACATGAGCTATTGCTTGGTCTTAGTAGGCAGCCTGACTGCAAACAGGAGTACAACAATTTTCTCCAGTCTTAGTGTAAACCGCAAGAGGGGATTTAGCTGCTCGTGTTGTCAAGCTGCCTTGTAGCGTTAGTTGCAACGATGTGCATTGCACCTTGTATCAGGCGGCCTCCCTTCAACAGTCCCAGGCAGTGAAGCAGCTGTACGAAGAATGTCGGGGGGGTTCTCCCGACGGAAGTCTGGAAGAGAGGCCAGTTACTTTTTCGTAGAATGACGCAACACTTGGCATGGTTAATCGGGACAGGTGTGATAAGTGAGCCCCATCCACTGCAGTGCGGTTTGGTGCATCGCAGTGACTAGTTATGAAGGTACTTTAAGAAATTACCTTGACATTTTTTTTGAAGACCGTTAACCGCGCTTTTCTCTTGTACCATGAATGCTTACTAGGATCTGCCCGCTGGTGGGGAGGCAATCAACGGTTGAAAGCCTTATCGCTTTTAGGCCAGACTAGTACCGCTATTCCATTCATCGAAAAGTGTCCGTAAATAGCGAACCCAATTCGTAAAGATTGCATCCACCACCGGCGGCAATGGAGGAATTCCTTGCTTCTCTGGAGTTGTATTTTAGTCTCCCAAATGCATCCGAAGGGCTACAGTTTCTACTGGCATCTAAAAGTACCAATTTTTCCAGAGCGCATCCGGAATATGGAAGCCCGGCGCGCACTACGATGTGAGTTGAGATTCCCTGGCCCGCGAGGGGACAGGCTGTGGTACACAAGGACCCTTGCTGTTCGCTCTCGGTTTGACCCTCAAGAACCGTTTTAGAGAACCAGCATTATGGTGGCTCGTCCATGTTGGAGATAGGTCGACGATGCTTGCCCAAAGACGGTTAATGGAATCCCCGAACTATCTCCCAAACCTCCCCACAAGGAGGCAACAACGTCCCTTGCAGAGGGTACAACGGTTGGAGACTGAACTCCTGGGCGCACGGGTAAAAACCCACGCGGGCCATGGAAAACGCGAATACTATGTAGTTGGCCAGGAGACTGAAGACCCGATTGGTGTACTGGGAATCAATTGTGCGAGCCATTTCAGCAGGAATATCTCTGAGCATTGGCTGACTCAGAGCCGACCACGAGAAGCGTTGGCGAGAGCAGAGAGCTGGAGATTAGCCGTATACAGCTACTCGTTGATAACCGATCTGTCGCGTGCGCACACGGGATTATTCATCCCCATATATCAGCTGTCTTGAGCCAACTTTTTTCGCCGCGACCTAATCTTCCTCCTTTCCGAACTACTTTCTCGTGACAAATTACGCAAATTCCTTCTATTTATAAGAAGCGCAGAACCTCCCTGCGTGCACGTCAACGCGGAGTTCGGCTGGAGTGCTAACAGGGAACGCATCATGAAGGCACATGTGGACGACGAGCTACATGAGCAACTGGGGGAGGGTCTGGATGAGTGAGAGAAAGAGACAATCAAGAAATCAGTGCAGCAGCATTTAGGGGGCGACCAACACAGGCGACGGGCTCTTGCTGTATGCAAGGGAGGGGAAGGCAGATGTAGCTTGACCTATAGCAGCTTGGAGAAGAAACACTTGCTTGGCCTTAGTACGCAGCCTGTAAGCCAGCGGTACGCGAAATATATCCATTGATAGTGCAGACAGCAAAATGTTGTTTTGTTGTGCTTGCTTGCGAAAGTGCCCTGCTTGGTTGCAATGAGGAGCGTTGCAACTCAGGCTGCCTCTTCCCCCGAGCCCGTGGGCCCCGTGCGCAGAACCTCTGGGGCGGAAGAGGAGGTTAAATGCCTTTGCATAACTTTTCCTTTAATTCTTCTGACTTGACTTCAACTCACGAAGGCCGTCGGATAAGTCCCCGAACTATGGTTACAAACGTGCTACACACGGCCCAGGGGGCTGGTATGCCTAGGCGGCCTGGGGTTTAGAGGGGAAGTCAGCTGCTTTTTGGAAACCCCTTCCCTTAGCATTTTAATTCTGTTGAAGTTCATGATGTTCGCCAGTTAAGATGGAGGACTCTTGTCACAAGGGACCGCTAGCATGCGCTATCAAACGCTGTTGCCTGTAGTGATTTTTTGGTTGATTGGGACCACTAACTTTCCTGCTATTTATGCTGAAAACTTCACATAGATTTTCGAGAGATTATTTATATATATTTTTGTCGTTTCTCAAACATCGATGTAACATTGTTATGGTGCCTTGTACAAGCCACTGCCACAAAGCCCCAGCAGCTCGCAGCAGGGCTCCCCCTCCCCACACCCCGCCCCCGAGGCTCCTTGACTGCTTGTGATCTGCGAGTAATAGCGTTCAGTTTTTAGTTTCTTTCGCTTTTTGCGTTGGTGCTTTTTAAGCGAAAGTATTAGAGGGATCAAGATTATTCCTAGGCTTCTGGAGGTGTGGGGCCGAGGAGTTGCACTCCCGATCGCGTGACTGCAGTGGGTTGATGGGTCGCTTTGTTTCTTCCTTCCCTGCAGAATGTTTTCTTGATGCAAGAAAATCGAGTGAACGCAAAATCTACAGTAACCACGAGACGTGGACATGATATGTTTCCTAGGTTTAGTTTCGCTTGTCTGCCCACTGGTGAATTATAGTACCTGCTTTCAGTTCTATGCTCTACATGGACCATTTGCTCAGCGCTACTCTACCCGTTTGTTTTTAAGGCAACGCGCTGAATATTCCATTTCTCATGCCGCATATAACGGGTGAAACTACGCATGGTCTTCTCCCGCCATCCTCCGGCGATGCCGTCATGGACGGCCGGGTAGTCCTCTACATGCGGAAAAAAACTACTAGGTGCCCCACATCAGCATCAGCCGCTAAGCCCACGTGCGGCTGAGTTGTTTGACTAGGGGCAGATAATCCAGAAACTGTAAATACCCTTCAGTCAATTGTAGCGAGCGTTACGGGCAAACTGGCTTTGTCTCCACTAAGTTTCGACCACAGACCGGGAGCGAAAGGCTGCACGACGTCGGCTGTTTAGTCTAGTGGTAGGATTCTCGCCTAGGATGCGGGAGGTCCCGTGTACAATTCCCGGAACAGCCCGGCCGAATGTCATACTTCTGTTTTCCCTAAAAAGGAACCACTACCCGCCCATAGGGTCTGCGGGCCTTTCAGGTCATTTATAGTTCTGTGCAGGGACCTATTGTTTCTAAACTGTCTGAGCACAAACATTAGAAGCCCGTTGCCGTTCGTGCATGCATGCGTTCGGCGCCAAAGGGAGAAGGCAAAGGGCGCGGAGGTGCTTAGTTAGAAATTGTTCAAATAAGTGCAACCCCCCAGATGCTGTGTTTGGAGATAAGTGTGGCTTGTCCAGTGTACCGCAGACACCCATGACAGGCCTTGGCCACATGTTGTTTAGTGCCGTCAGAACAACTAAACTGAGACCTGTGGAGGGGGACGCAGCCTTTGTTTAGTCTAGTGGCCCTGTTAAGCCACAAGTCAATATGGATGATGAGCAGAAGCAGCACATTCCTTTGCATGCACCCGAAATGCACGTACAGGGAGCAGATCCGCGCATTCTTGTTTCTGCAGCTCCTGGTCCATTCCCTCAAAAGTATTTTCGTAAATACAGCTGCTTCGACACTCTAACTTAAACTGCAGACTCCATGTCCTCAGGCTCGCCCCTTAGCAGCCTCTGCCCGCCTCTGCATTTGCTTGTACTCCGATTCCACCTCCTCCAACTCCTGCATGGACAGTAAGACAAAATAGAGGCTCTCATCAACGGCACTAACTCTTTCCTTCAGACGCAACTCTTCTTGGGACCCACGCAAAGGCGGGAAAAACTAGAGCACTATCATACACAAAAATACACGCATATATATATATATATATATATGCACAAACAACAAAGCCTTGTTTGGATTCGGATCTAAACTTTGCGCGTTCCTCTACACCCTCCATTTACGGTTACGCAAGGTCGAGGTTTGTTGGTTGTGCTGCGGGTTTGAATTCGCTAGTGTTAGAGTGTAAGAAGACTGAAGACCCGAAGAAAGATACTCTGATTCTCTTGTAGCCTGAGAGAGCCTACTTGCTGAAGAGCGCGTTGAAGGGCTGTTTCATCGAATGGGGAGGTCTTTAGATCTGTCATTTGACCCCTTATTGCCTTTGCTATTAACTGCAGCAACTCCAACTCCGACAGCTGCCGTGCATTTCTGTAGCTGGGGCGGCCTTCCTCCGGACGCAGGTCTATTGCATTACCGTGGGGGTCCCGGAACACCCCTGCAAACAAACACCTCACGATAGACACTTCTGCATTCAAAGCAACGCGGTGTCCGTACACTGCAGTCTGTACGAACCGAACACTGCAGTGCACAGTGCAATTCAGGAAGGATCGGCGCGAGTACCTGGGAAAGCTGAAATTTGGTAGACTTTTGTATATCCGTTCTTGTCCACGTCGTCGAGGTCTTCATACTCTTCTAAAGAAACCCATTTCAGCTTTCTCTTCTCTAACTCCTTCGAATAGTCGAAGTCCGCAGGCGGCCACTGCGGCCAAGCGTACCACCACCTGAACCATCAACCCACGCCATACACTCACACCACCCTTTTGTTGCTGCTCTTGTTGCTGCTGCTGCTCCAGCGACGCGTTACCACGACGCCTACCCCTCATACAAAATAGCTATGCGGCTACTCTTCTGGAAGCACCAGCAGCAGCAGTATGTCACTGAGGATCCATACAGCACAGCGGCTTCCTTCAAGCCAACGCATTCACTACTTCTACTCCCTCTACTTTGAACAGAAAAGGAACGGAGTTTAAAAACAAAATACAAAGCAGAGTAGCAGTACAACAACGAAACAAGCAGCAAATGAGGAGGGGATATCTACCACTCACTACACGCCCGAGAAGGAGCACAACAACAAAACTAACAGCACTCCAAGCAGCAGACAGAACAAGAACGCATACACCGCGCCGCACAGACGACAGCAGCAAGCACCAACAGAAAACAGCATAAAGCGCGGCAAATAGAAAGAGATATAACAAGAAAAAGAGGAGAGGACCGGGTAGGGGTGCTACCTTACCGTCTAAGGAACTGCGCGACGAGTCGGTCTTTCAGGCTCCTCTTCTTGGGATCGAATGTACCCATGCTAATTTCTTGTTCTTCTCCTTCTTCATCGCTGTCTGCTCCTTCCCCTGTTTTTCTGCTGGCAGGAGGTGCACGTACACCCCGTTGCTTACCGCCTTCCGCCTTAGCTTGACGCTGCCTCGTTGCTTTCGTCCTCGCCATTTGTTTTTTCTTGTTCTGCGACCTCCCTGACTTGGCCCGGCTTCTTGAACGAGCGTCTGACTCCTCTCCGCTGCTGCTCTCGCTGCTGCTGCTCTCGCTGCTGCTCTCGCTGCTGCTGCTGCCACTCCCGCTGCTGCTGTCGCTCCCGCTGCTGCCGCTCCCGCTGCTGCTGCCGCTGCTGCTGCCACTGCCGCTGCTGCTGTCGTCACCGCTAGGCCGTCGGCTTTTCGCTGAACACACGAAAAAAACAACAAAAGGCTGCGCTGTTGTTGCTGCTGCTGCAACACCTTCCCTGAGCACGAGAACGCCACCAGAGAAACTAAGGGCCTCCTAACTCCCTCTCTCCTCCCCATTGTTGCTGCAGCCACACGAGCCCCGCCTCCTCTAGGCCTTTTCCTTACCTGGAGCTTTCGGTTTCGCTGGCGGTGCAGCCTTGTTGGTGCCGTTTTGCTGCTGCTTCTGCTGCGTTGTTGCTGTTGCTGCTGCCTTGGGGGCGGCAGTTTCAGACTGCGTGCGGGGAGGAGCAATGCGCATTTTGTCTAAGACGACATCTTCATCTGAACTGTCTGCCATCAATTTGTTTTTCTTCCCTCGGGGTCGCACCGGAGACTCATCGTCACTATCCAGCAGCCGCCGCCTGCACCCCGCGCCTGGCGCGGAGGCAGCAGAACGCTGGGCTTCCTGCTCTCCACCTGCTGCTGCAGGAGCAGCAGCAGGCGCAGCAGCAGCAGAGCCAAGAGAGGTACCAGCAGGAACTGATCCCGATAAAGACGGTCGTCTTTCTCCTGCTGCTGCTGCTCCTGCTGCTGCTGCTGTTGCTGCAGGCGCAGTGGAAGGCGGCTTTGCTGCTGGAGCCCCAGCAGCGGAAGGTCCTGTGGGCTCTTTACCTGACTGCAGCAGAACACAAAAGAGAATACAGCAGATCACGCGATGTACTCCCCATTCCTTTCTGCCGTTTCTCCAGCTCAGGCCTGCTACGAGTTCGTGTTTGTCTCTTCTCTCGGAGTGCAGGTGTCTGCTATGTTTGTCTGATGCTTGGGCGTGTTTGTCTGCGCATTGGGCAGCTGGGGGTCAGCGAAGCTGTCGTTATGTGTTGTTTCTTCCAACTGCATGCAAACATGTGTCCGTCTCGCTCTCTCTTTAAGGCAAATGCACTGCAGCGGCAGCAGCAGCAGCAGCAGCTGTCGAGACACCGTAGGGTGTGTGCGTGTTGGGGTGCCCACCTCCATCTTGTGCAGCAGACGAAACCAACTAACAAAACCACTGCAGGCTCAGCAACTAGCAACTCTAGCTGCAGAGGAAGAGAGGAAGAAAACAGACGACGGCGACGGGAACGCTCTGGGGGTTCAATACAGAGCACCGCAGCTGCAGCACAACCAACAGACAGCCGCAGCCGCAGCAGCAGTCCTCCCAGAGAGCGGAAACGCCGCTTTGAATCTGCTGCTCCCCGATCAGCAGTGACCGTTCTTCCCGGTCTTTTGCAAGACCGATAATACGGCCTCAGGCACACGGCACCGCTCTTCTCTTAGAAAAGCTGACGCAGGGTGTTTGCTGCGCCAGGTAAAGGGCGGAGGTCTAAAGGCGTTTAAGTGGAGAAGAGGAGGCAAATGAAGAATTCAAAAGAAAGAAAGACAAACAAGGAAAAGGCAGCTGTGCCCTGGTGCACAGAGCGGAGGGTCGCCTGCCAGGCCCGGCCTCCCCGTCGGCGCAGCTGGGGGCCAATGTGCAGCAGCAGAAGAGAAAAAGAATATATATATTATTGCAAAGTCTGACCTATGACACAAGACAACCCTTTAAAGGACTCGAACAACCACCAACGCTCCCAAGTGTCTGTACGCTCTGCATGCTGTGGCTCATTGGCTGGCGGCTGCTCTTAGGCTGCATAGACTTTACAAGAAACAGGAGGAATAAACAACCAAGCAAACGATTTATTATTTGTTTTTAATGAAAACAACCCCCATATCATCAATAATCTTTGCCTAAATACCACTACTAGGTCGCAAGCAAGCCCCTCGATGAACACGGGGCACCGGGCCTCATATTGGCATTCCCAGACCGCGGCTATTTGCTATTCAAGTTAATTGTATTTTCAAATAAATTTCAATATAGTATTCAATTTGAAAGATCCTCTGGGAGTTCACGGGAGGCTTAGGCGGCAATCCGCAGCTGACAGCATCTCCCCCCATCCCCTCGCGTTGAGGTATACATACACCGCATATGTTTATAGTACACGCAGCAAATGGCATCTTCACCCATAAAATATACCGATGGGACGACCCCTTGTGAGGGTGCGGCAGCACCAGAGGTGCTCAGTTACTCTGAAGATGAAGAAGACGAATGGATGCCCTTCCGCCGTTCTGCCCCCGACTCTGTAGGCCTACAGTTTCTCGTACTGTGTACATCTGCGCTTTGCATACACCCGCGTTTTTCTGTTGCTTGAAGCAGTCATTCTTCTCTCGTCCCCTCTGTCATTATTCCTTCTTATTGAGGCGTCCTTCTGCAGGCCAAGGCAGAAGACGGCTGGAACCTCGGCGGATTCGTCTCTCCTTTTCAGTGCGTCTTTCGCCACTGCACACCTGAGGATATTATGATGGTGCTGTATTCTAGGTCGGTATTATATATTTCTATGCGGGTATGATGACGATGCATTTTCCTAAGATGTACTTTTTCTGTCTTTTTTCTCTTGCACAACCGCAGGGGCACTCCACTGGTAAGCGCAACGACAACCATACCGACAGCCAGGCCAAGACTGCTTTGAAGCTTCTTCTTCTTTTCCTCCTCTCGTTTGTTTTTAAAGCCAAACTCGGTCGGTCTCCTCCTTTCTCCTGTAGGAAAAAATACGCGTCATCGTCGAAGCCCTCCAGCTTACCAAGAAAGATGTGGTGTATGAGTGCGTGTCTTTACCCTGAACGACAGCAATAAGCATTTAATTTGTGTATTTGTATCTTTATGTATTTGCTTAGAATGCTTATCCCTCTCATTTATTCGTATTTTGTCTTTTAGTGTTTTTCGCTGTGCGTTCAGCTTGGGCTGCGGTGATGGCCGCTTCATCATCGAGTGCTGCCGCCTCACGAATTGCGCAGGTGAGTTCTTCTCTTGTTTGTATATTCAATGTACTCTGTTCGCGCTTCCCCCATTGTAAAACACTATTATATATCAATATGCAATATAAAATAATTTGCGTTGCGATCGTTATGAGGCACTCACACAGTCGGTGAGAAGGCTGGCTGTTTAACCCCTCCGTGTCTGCCTCTCTTTTCTCGTGGATCTCCGGAAAGAAATAGGTCTACGCAGATCCCTCAATCTTATCCTCTATAATGCAGTATATATTACACTTCTATGTGCTTGCATCCCTCTCCCTGTATTTACGCATGTGTGCAAACTATATATATATATATATATATATATATATATATATGCCCTCCCTTCTCCTTCTCCCCACATATATGCAAATTTCAACAACTCAATATGCATATATATAACCATATATGTACGTTAGCATTACACCTATGCCTTGATGCACTTCTTTTGCTTCATCCAGGTGTGGGGGTGGAGCTCGACTCATCTTTATTTGAAAGAGCGAAGCGAAACGCCAAAAGAATTCCAGACATCAACGCCAAATTTTTGCAGCGGGATTTGATGGCCCCGGATTTGGACCTGTCGGAGGCGACGGTGATGTGGGTTTCCTCCCCTTAGGACAATTATGTTAACACAATTCATTAGTATAGTTAATATTTTTTGTACGTATGTACATAGGTGTATATAAATATATACATATATAATTCATCAATATGCTTTAGGCTGTGTTTGGGGAGCTGGCTCGTAGGAAACGAGTTTTTCGCTCCCCCAGTCCAAGCCCCCTCCTGCAGCCGCGCGTACTGCAGTGCGTATCTTCATCTGTATCATTGTCTTTTCTTGCTTTGTGTATTTGTCGGTTTGCAGTTTCCTTTATCTTCTTCCGGAGGCCCTGAAGATGCTGCTTCCTAGACTCTGTCAGCTTGCACAGACCTCCTCTGCTCTGCGCTGTATCGTCTCCCTCTGCTGGCCTCTCCCGGCGGTGTCTCCGTCTACCCGCAATGCAGAAATGAAGCTTTTTTTGTACAGAGTTGAAGACCTGAAGAGCGAGGCCGAGACCTCCTCGTTTAGGGCTTTATGAAGCTGACAAACAGCTGATAAGCAAGCTGCTGCTGCGCTGTTGCAGCAGCTGCTGCAAACACTGCTGCAGCAAGCAGCAGCAGTGGCGGTGCTGTTTTCGGAAATGCTCTGCTGGATCAACTGCAGCAGAGCAGAAACGCCGCTTTCAGAGTAGCAGTAGCTGCTGCAGATGCAGTGGCGTTCTTGTCTTTGGTCTTTAGATGGGGTATGCGGGTGCGAGCAAATGCAATAAACAGATGATGGCGGCCTCGGAAGCCTGGGCACGGCCACTTTTATAAAGTTGTTTTGACTGCACAGGCGTTTGCAACTAGAACAAAGAGCAGGCCTTTCTGCTGCTGCTGCTGTTGTGGCTGCGGCTGTTGTTGCTGGGTTCAGTAGAGGCCTTTTATCTTGTCTCCCTTTCGCAGCGCTCGTCTCTTGGTATTTGCCCTTTGCAGGAAGAGGCCCTGCGATTCCTCAGACTCCTCCTGTGTAACGGTATATTATGAGTAGTGGCTGCTAGCAGCCCTTTTGTTCAAGCGTTCTGATTTGACCTCTTGCGTTGCTTCTTCCTCTTCAGCAGGAACTTCCTGTGGGCTTTTCGCTGGTTCTGGCGGTATGCGATTGCACTGCAAGGCGTAGTGACGGTTTATAGCAGAGACACAGATTACCTTCTATCGCAGGATGGCCGCCTTGCGGAGCCTCCTCCTCGTCGAACTCTGAGGGTTCTTGCTGCTCCTGCTGCTCCTGCTGCTTCTGCTGCTCTTCCCCTTCTGCTTTCTCTTCTTCTGTGTTGCGTGTACCATGAGCAGTGTGCGGACACATTAAGGTTTATGGTGCAGGCTTTAGGCTTTAGGCTTTAGGGTTAGATTTCTCAGCAGCCCGTCTGTACGCGCACCCTGGGCAGCTTCTGCCTCTGCGGCACGCGCCTCTTCTTCAGCAAGTGTTGCTTCTTCTTCTGCTTCTGCTTCTGCTACCTTCTAGAAAGTAGTGGTTAGCTGCTGCAGCACCGACGGGGCAGCAGCAGCAGCAGCAGCAGCCACGACACGCACCTCAGGGGCCTGCCCTTCCAGCTTTTCGATTCCCGCAGCAACTTTGCGCTGAACAAAAGAGATGCTTGCAACAGAACCCTCTGCGCATTTTTCTGTGTACTACCTCCTGTTCAATAAGGGCTTTGAGGTTTTCTTCTTCCGTGTCCACCTCCCTTTGCATCTCCATCTCATGCAGCTCGGCAACGACTGCCAGTTTCGTCTACTCCATGTGTGCTGCGTTCAAGAGCCTAGCAACTGCCTACCTGTGGCCTCGGCTGCTTCGTGTTTTTCTTTCTCTTCCTGAACTGCTGCCGTTGATTCTGGGCAAGGTGGCGAACCCAACGTGACGCACCTCCTCTCTCAGTCTGCAGGGGAGGGAGCAGCAGGGTATGGGAGTAGCTGCCTGCTGCACTGTCTCTATATGCGCCTTACTCGTGTGCAGCATCCGCCTCTTTTTCCTTGGCTTTGGTTACTTGCTGCTCGTTTCGATTTGCTAATTGCTCGTTACTCAGGTTAGCGAGAGAGGAGGTTCAGCTTACTTTTTCTGCTTGCAGCAAATCATTCACAACTGAAGAAACAAATAACGAAATGAAAGTCGCCTCCCACTTCAGCCTGTCTATTAATGCTGTCCTGACCCTCTTTGTGATGTCTCGCCTCAGCGTCTTTGGCCTGCAATTTCCCCCCAAAAAAGTAGAACCCGAGTTATTTGTATACAGGTGCTGGAGGCTTCCCTACCAGTTTGCGCATAAGTGCCGATTCCTCGTGTTCTAAGTGGGCATGGTGGTTTATCTGCTCCCGAATCGCTGTAGAGGGAACGCGTGACAATTATGTTTCCCTCCGTTCGTTCAGATTCTTCTGCGACTCTTGTTCACAAAAAAACACACCTCTAGCCACCTCATGCTCGCCGGAAGCTGAAACGCAGTAGAACAGCACCAATATTTATGTTCACGGAAGCCAATATAAAGCAAAAATTAGATAAATACCATCCATCGGAATACAACACTCCCCCGGCCCATCAGCCCGAGAAACGCTGATAGAGCGCATTGCCTCCACCACCAACCAGGCGCAGTAAACTCTCTGTAGCTGCATTCCTAGCGCTGCTCTCCGGTGTTTCTCATGACTCGTGGCCTCTAAAAACTTAAAAATCCATGCATCAAACAATCCGTGGCCGACAATCTAGGGAAAACAGCCCAGGACGTGAGTAATCAAAGCCGTGAATGCGAACTGCCTGCGGTACGTTTCACGAAACCGTCCATACACCTGAACACTTGCTGAAACTGAAGGGAAACCAGAGATTAAAATGTGTAATTTGGGTTCAAAAATGCCTGGAATTCCAATGAGGAGTAATGACGTTCTTAGTGTGTCCACCAGTCGTTGAGTTTTCTTATTTCTCTGTACAAAGCGCATTCTGAGTGGCCTCCCTCCACTCCGTATTTCACGTGCCGACTTCTGCACGTGGAACTTTGCACAGCGCTGCATAGTTAGACTCTATTTAATAGAGTCACATTCTTCTTTATTCTTGTGCTTTAACCTTAAAGCTGCTTTTCTGCCCTTCAATGTTTGTCGGGCCACATGCCGCCCACAGGCAGCCAGAGACCGAACCGCAAACACAATTCGCCCCACATACGAAGCAGCAACAAACTATGCCCCAATGGAAATCTACGCTTGAACTTGAAATAGTGAATTTCAAAACGACGTAAACTAAAATGAAACAATTTCACCCTCTATGCCGCCGTTTGTAGAGTCGCCGGCAGCTGTGGTGCTGGACTCCTTCGGGCTTTGCGAGTTGTACTGCCCGATATTCGTGAAAGTTTAGAGTTTTTTTCGTTCTTCGCCCCCTTCCCCCCTCTTTTTGCTTTCATTTATTGAGGCTGAAGCAGCGGAAGTAATATCTGAATGAAATATTTGGACGCAGGCACCGTCGCAGGCCCCGAAGGACTTGCAGCACTGCTATGCCATCGCGAGCATTCACATCGTTTCACCGCCACGGAGAAGTATTTTCCCTTTTTCACTTTATTTATTTATTAGCGAATAAATAATTATTAATTGGGTAATTTTTGACTCAAGACTTTGAATATTGGTGAAGCTTAAACCTAAACTGCCCAATGGTCGGCGTCCTCCGCCCGCCTCGGGGTTACGGCTGCGGCGGAGCCGAGGGAAGTTGCCACTATGTTCTTCGCCCCACATTGGGAATAAAGTAAAAAAAATAGTTTTAATTGAAGAAGTTTAGTGTTGGTGTGCAGACAAGTGCACAATATAGCACTAAAAGAGACCCTAGGTCGGTTACCCTGCACGCCGGGGCCGGCAGACAGCCAAGTCACCTGCTGTAGTGCACAGGCACTACAATAGCGCTCAGGTGGAGCCTTCACAGATCTTGCTAGATGCAAAGGAACCAATACAATACGAACAAAGATGAATGACAACACTTTACATGAGAATCTAACAGTTTCAAGTCAAGAATGCCCGGCAGCCTCACCAGGGTTTTGGGCTGGCTGTGAGACTGACGTCGCGGCGGTCTGACTCTAGGCAGTGTCGCACAGTGTATTATCATTTCCAGAGGTTTCCTTTTTAGGATGAAAGGACTCGAATATGATTTTAAGAAGTTAATTTGAAAATTTGAGTCCTCATAGTATAGATGGGCTGGGCCGTTACGGGCTGCACAATCCGAGACCTCCTGCATTCGATGTTGGATCCGAAACTACAGGCGTTATTGAGTAGATTTGCTACAAGAACTACACGGACAGAGAAAGGTGCACCTATGCAGCTCCGAAACGGGAAGCTCGTAGGTGCAAGACTGAGACAGAACATCGAGGAGAAGAGAAAAGTGGACACAGGACACGCGTCGAAAAGTGAAATGGGCCCAGACGACGAAAGAACTTCAGTCATGTCCGTTCAAGGTAGAGCTCACCAGAGTCCAGGAAAACTTTTCCCGGCCCACACGATAAGTCACTCCATCCAATCCGCGATGTCCGATCACGGCATCGGATCTGAGGCAGGGCGTCGTGGTCCACACTCAGCAGGTAGTCACGGTACACATGAAAATGGAGATACCATGAGAGCGTTCTTACAATCAGTGGAGATTGAGCACGAGGACGCAGGAATACCACGTGAAAGATGGGGACACGAATACGCCGATACTTAGTGGGGAAGGCTATTGATACTTGGTTTTCTCTACGGGCCTCCGGAATAGATCTGAGCCACTGGGAAGCGGGGCATTGAGAGAGGAGATGATGATCCAACTGGCAAATATACGGTGAAAGGGTAATGCGGTACGATATGCAGCAGAATGTTCGCTGGTATTGAGCCAGGGTGAAGCTCTAACACCAGAAGACTCGCTTAGGGTATTCCAAGCTAATCTACCGGATGACGTCCTATTAGCTATAAGAGACAATAGAACCAGAACTTTCGAGAACTGGCAGGAGGCCGCTAAGGCGTTAAAGGAAGTCGTGGAAACTAGAGAGGGAACATTGGATGACGCGAGGCAATGCAGAATAATGATACAACAAATGCGAGAGCGAAGGAGAACATACCACGATGAGAAACAACGGAGCGAAAAAGGGCAACTCCCACAGTACGACGTGACCCGCGTGACAATGCTTGTTTCGAATGCAAGGGCAGGGGACATTCGGCACGACAGTGCCCGTCGTGTAATGAGGCCCTACAGCGCAAGGGAGAAGTATGCAAGAAGTGTGGAGGCGTAGGACACTACGCTAGAGACTGCCCAGCATCGGCACGAAGAGTGATAGATAATAGGTATAGCCAGTCGATCACACACTCTCGCAATGGGAGAGCTAAGCGTTAAAACGAGAGAGCCTAGACGTTAGGGGAGACGGGCGTACTAAGCCGTGCAATCGTGGTACAGGGGTGATGTGCGCAGTAGCGACGGGACCTAATGCCATCCCATCCCCCCCGATTGGGAAAGGGAACTGCTAAGCGTGAGGAATATTCCCAAGATAGGGCCTAAGGCGACCGAGAAGGGTGAGCCGACGATAGCGGAGCGGCGTGAGAAGAAGGCCGCTGACGAGAAGAGATCGGGTGTACACCGGGGAGTAGCAGCGAAGAGTATGCAGCTGCGCCAGTAGAGGGTTATGAGCAAGAGAGGTACGGTGCGGACTCGCCGTGGTGGCTGGAGGTCTGTGTAAAAGGGGATCTTACTCAAGAGGGTGTCCTGTGTAGCGTGGGGTCTACAGCAGTACTGCGAGTGGACTTGGCAGGGCGTCTATACGAGGCACTACTAGATACAGGCTCCTCGGAAAGTTTTATTAGCCCTCAGACGGTTGACCGCTTAGAGATTAACGTGCAGCGTTTGGCAACGGCGCATACGTTCATGATAGATAACGAAGAGCAGCTGCGTATTGATCGTGCAGTAAAGCGACTAAAGATGTGGTGTGGACGAGAGCGCTTCTTAGGAGATTTCCTTGTAGGCCCTGTTCCTTATGATGTAGTGTTGGGACTGGACTGGTTGACTGAGCACAAGGTTGCTTCGTATTCTCAGTCCGATAAGCTCAGAACATATGTGAATGGCAAGTGGTGTGAGCTACCTGCAGTTCGAACTGTTGCAGAGAAACCCAAGGGCAGGGGAACTACAGAAGTGCGTACGAAGACCCCAGAAGAGCAAGCATATGCACAAGCAAGTGGCCGGCATGTCCCCAGAGGAAGCTGCAGCATTACTACGCCCACCGTCTAGGAGGCATAGGTCACACACTAAAGCTGGACGGAAGGTGCCAGTGGACTCTTTGGTTCAGAAGGCTATGACTAATTCGAAGACTCTCACAGAGCCTGTGCAAGGGCTCAACCTCATATTGGCTCTACCCGAAGCCGGAGAAACGGAGGCACGTAGGCTCGCAAACGACCGAGAAGGGGCGTTGCGTTGTGCTATAACTGAGCGTGCCAACTCTCACACTAGACAGACCAGCCCCCACGCTACTGCTGGCCTATGTGGCGTATATTTGTTCCACAGCTCCCTGAGTTCCTCACTCACGTTTTGCACACACGCCATGACCATGTGACAGCAGGATATCGAGGCCAGAAGAAGACTTTCTTGGCCCTCAGCAAGTATTAGTACTGGCCAGGCATGCGCGCGTACACCAATGCGTATGTGGAGTGATGTACCCATTGCCGTGCAACGAAATCCCTGGATCAGAAGCCCGCTGACCTCCTTCAGCAGCTCATTGTCCCTTCGCGCCGGTGGAGCCACGTCAGTCTTGAGGTGGATCAACGAGGCACTAGCGACGATGCCCAGTACCTCGTCAAGTGGCGAGGCGCACCTGAGGACAGAGCCACATGGGAGCCCTGTAGACACCTTGCCGGTTGCCCCGCTTTGCTGCGGGCCTGGAGGCGTCGCTTGCACAAACGCCAACAGGCCCGGAGTCCCCCTGCACCTCCTCCTCATCCTTTCCCTCCCGACCCATAATCCCCCTCCCTACACACTGTTCTTACCCTTCCCTGACCCCCCTGCACGCCCTTCCTCGCCCTTTTCTATGTAGAAGATCTTTAGATGTCGTGCTGTGCCATGGGCTGCAGCGCACGTTTGTTACGGCACGCCGCCGGGCTGGCCAGCAGTCTCTCAGGCTGCGAAAGGGGGGAAGGGAGTAATTGCGCTATGCGTTTGCACCCACAGATTTCCCACATAGTTAGGGACTCAGCTCTAGGGGCACATACACACATGCCAAGTCGCACGACCCCACTGTATAGACAGGCGCACTAAGTAGGGGACACACAGAACCCGTCCCCACACAACAGTAGTGCAGCAGTTACCAGAACCGCACTGTGAGCAACATACAAAGTGTAACACCTACAGACAGATGCCTAATGTGCACACAGTCTAAGGCACTGAGGTACGTGAGGCACAGGTGAGGTGTGACACACAGTACAGGAGACCCGGCCCACAGGTGACCCTAGCACATAAGGCGAGCAGCTGGGATTCACGCTATTCGTCCGCGAACTCTCTAAAGGGAAGGGGGATACTACAGAAATTGACCGCGAAATTTGAGCGAGAACCCCAGTAGCGACTACAGTAAGTCTCACGAGAATAGACTGTGGGACAGCTAGGAAGTCACGATTGGCTAAGAAGTAGATGTTGGATAAGCAGACAGCAATCGTATCAAAGCTATTAAGGAAACACGCAACCAATCTATATACCCTACAGCCTACATGTAGGGGCCCACGCCGACGACTTCAGTAGGCGAGGTTTCTGCGCGTCATTCGCCGTGCTTGTATGATGGTAGGACGCGCAGTAGGAAGGTCAGGAATCCCTCCCCTTTGGATAGGTGTGCTAGGCAGGGATGCAGAGAAACTCACTACCCTAGACTATTGGAAACACTTTCCTGACATAAGGAGCTGGGTAGACTAAGATTAGGAAGAAAGGAGTCAGGAAATAACGCTATCAAGGCGGGAAGGGGGGAGTTGTACTGCACAGGCACTACCTTGCTATGCGCGAAAGAGCCAATACAATACGAATAGAGATGAATGGCAACACTTTTGATGGAAGCCTAACAGTTTCAAATCAAGAATGCCCGACAGCCTCACCAGGGTTTGGGGCTGGCTGTGAGACTGACGGCGCGGCGGTCGGGCTCAAGGCGCAGTCAGACAGGAGACTTATCATTTTCAGAGGTTTCCTTCTTAGGATGAAAGGACTCGAATATGTTTTTAAGAAGTTAATTTGAAAATCTGAGTCCTTATAGTAATGATGGGCTGTGTTTAGTGTACTGGTGCGGAGTCTGAATCCCGTACGGTCGTACACGTAGTAGGCAGAGCCCGCTGTTCAGTACACCTGCTGCTACCGTTGCCTCTGTTGCCTTTCCCATGAGGAAGAAGATGGCGGCGATACAATTAGTTTGAAAAGTGTTTCTATTTATTGCTTTTCCCTGAAGTTTGAGCGAATTAACAAGAGAAATGTGCGTCTGTTCAGCACTGTCGGTATTTGTAAGGATCGGGAGACTTGGGGTGTCCATGAGTAACTCTAAATGGTAGTGCTTGAGTGATTTATTTAGGGTTTCGTGTTAAGGGTTTAGGTTTTAGGGTTTTTCATTAAGGATTATTACCGTTAATCACAGACGCGCCTCCCTGGACACGCCACTTGTGTCTCTTGGCGAAAGGGCATCTTGCAACTCTTCTATATTTCCAATACAGAAGCGTAGGCTCAGTCAGGGCGTTCCCTGCAAAAAGGGGAAAATATGCACCGCTTGCAGTGTCTGTACAGTGCCTCGAGTTCACACTTCAGAGATTAGTCGCAAAGGCAGCAGCAAAGGAGAGCTAAAAAACAGGCGCCACAGTCTTAGAAGAACAATTGCATCCCAGTAGACAAAAACGATGCTGCCGGGGTCTTCTAAATAGACCACAGCACTTGAATGTTCTCATATATTCGTGGCCCTTCCTTTCAAACTGAACTTTCTTTTTTTCTCCTCTCGCCTCGACAGACGACGCATCTGTCAGATTCTGAATCCCAAACCTCGTGGCCGCCCTCTCTATACTACTCTCTGTATGAAGGTGCTTCTAAGGCTTCCACGGTATTTTGAGTCTTCATGGCATTTTTACGGGCCTTCTACCCTCTCTCTATGCCCCAACAGCGTGCAGAGCAACGTGCAGAGAAAAGACTGAGCAGCTGCTGGTGACACCGCACCGGGGGGCCCCTAAAAAGAACTTGGGGGCCACTGGAATTCCTAAGAGGAGCTCGGGTCCCCGGCTGCTCACCAGGCAGTTGAATGACTGAAACCTTCTGTGGTGTATAGCGGGGCCCCTTGCTGCAACAGCTGCAGTAATGGTGCCCCCTGCAGATGTGCGCCGTAGCCCCGCAGCAACTCGGAAACCCTCTGTGGAGGCAGCTCCCCGCAGCGCCCCCTTAAATGGGCGGCCCCATGTAGATACAACTTCCTGTACAGCCCTCACTGCTGGGGGCCCCCCATCCCTCGATAGACCCGCTGCTTCGCAGTTGACACTGTGGGCGCAGGCGGGGCTGTCTGCTGTCTCTGGACTTGTGCCGTCTTCTCTTCCCCTTCTGCCTCCGCAGGGGCCCCTCAAGCCTCCCATCAGCAGCATTGGGGCCCCAGGTGGGGCCTCCGGCAACATCAGTTACTGTGAAACAAAGAACGCGCAACAAACCACAACACGCACCCGACCGAACTTCTCTGCCCTCCCCTGGGCCCCTCCATTCAGAAGCTCCAAAAGGCGCCTCTGGTCTTCCCCAGGCTCACTACGCTCCCAGCACGGGACATCACGCCCTCTCCTGGGGCCGTCAGGGCCTCCCTCCCGCGGGACCCACGACCCTATGAGGATGATGGGGCCCCCACAGGCTTGCAGATTGAAAGGGTTGGGCCTGCAGGGGTCGAAGCTGCAGCACCGGGCGAGTGCTGGGGACCTCCTCTTGCTCCAGCAGCAGCAACAGCGGCAGCAGAAAGGGCTTGCAGGCGTGCGCCGAGAGGCTTCCTGGGGGCATTTCTTTCGAGGCCCCAGAAAAATAGAAGAAAGAAGAGGAAACACACAGAGTCCAGACATCCGAGTGCCGGTTGCCTCCTGGAGCCTCCTCACAGTCTTCAATTTCTCTGGGGCAGCGAAAGCACCAGCAGAAGCAGCAGCTACTGCTGCTAATGATGCAGCAGCAGCAGACGCAAAGAAGAGCCTTTACTCATCAGACGCTAAAACTCCAGGAGAATGTGCAGCAGCAGCAGCAGCAACTCTAGTGGCCGCAAGGGAAACTGACGGGGCAGCTGCTGCAGTTTCAGCTGTCTCCGCACTACCAAGGGAGACGCCTCAGCAGCAGCATGAAGAAGAAATGTGGGGGTCGCTTGATGGCCACGCAATGTTGAATGTGCCGAGACCTGAAGAGGCTGCCTGCGCTGCACTCGAAGCCGCAGCTACTGCTGCGGACTCCTTGTCAGCCTTTGTACCACGCCTAAATATTGCTGCAGTTTCAGCACCACCTGCTGCTGCTGCTGTTGCTAAGGGGAAAGCTAAGCCCGGCACAGTGTCTGAGACAACGGGAAAAGCTGCAAGGCTTACAAGGGCAGCGAAACCGCACGGACAAGCAGCACCAGCAGAAGAAACATCGACAGCAACAGCAGCAGCTCCAGCACCCGTAGCAGCAGCGGCAGCAACGGCAAGAACCCATACCATGCCGACTGCTGCTCTTTCACCTTCACAGGCAGATTCAGCAGCACCGGAAGCAGACAAGGGAGAACAAGCAGAAGCAACAGAAGCAACCGAGGCAGTAGCAACAGCAGCGGCAGCAGCACTTGCAGCAACAACAGCATCAGCAACACCAGCTACTGTAGACGGTGGCTGTACGCGCATCCCGCACCCTGCTGACTCTCCTCCTGATTCTTCACGCGTTGTGCCTCCCCTCATGTGGAAGGGCATCCCTGTATCTGACTGGGCCCCCGAAAAGCTGTGCAACAGCAGCAGACTGAACAGCAGCAGACTCAGCAGCAGCAGACTCAGCAACAGCAGCACCAGCTGGTGGGGCCCCTTGGCTTCCCTGTCTCGGCGCCGGTGGGCAGTGTTTGATATGCCGAGGCCCCTAAGGCTGAAGATCGTGACCATAGGGCCCCCATGCAGCGGCAAAAGTTGCTTGGTGCGGCGTTTCTGCGAGCGGCGTTTCGCTGGAAGCCATCCGGGGGCCCCCGAGTGCGGTGGGGGCCCCCCGAAGCGGGGCCCTCAAGCGGCACGCACTATAGGGCTGGACTTTGGCTTGCGAGACGTTCAGCTTCCGACGGAGGAGACCGTTCGTCTTCATTTTTTCGACATCTCAGGAGATCCACAATATTCAGAAGCTGTTGAAGGGGCCGCTGAGGGTTGTGATGTGCTGCTGGTTGTCTTTGATGCTGCGGAGCCGAATTCGTTGCGTGCAGCTGCCGAGACACTTGAAAGAATACGAGCAACCGCAAACAGTGCGCTGGAGGCACTGAGAGCCTCTATTCTTTCTCGCCTTTGCTCCCTAAGAACACAAAGGCCTTCCCTAACCCTCCTTTGCCTCGACTGCTGCTGCGTTTGCTTACGCATCAGCTATGCAGCTGCACAAGCAGCAGCAACACAACACAGCACAAGCGACAGCAACAGACTCACCGATGCAGCCGCAATGCTCGCACCCAAAGAGTAAAGGCAGCATCAGCAGCAGTCATGCTAGCAGCAGTAAAGGCAGCAGTAATGCATGCATGTGCTAGTTGCTGCTAGAGAGATGGCAAAGCTGCATGCAGCATAGCCCCAAGTTGCGTCTCCTGTTCCCTCCCTGCAGCTCAAGAAGCCATCATAGCTTTGGTAGCAGCGAAGGCCGATGGATCTGCTGCAGCAGCAGCTGGCGCTGCAGCAGGAAAAGCAGCAGCAGCATCAGCAGGAACCCGCTTCTACGCAGCATGCGCAGAGACGGCTGAAGGCGTCGACACGCTTTTTCTTGAAACAGCAGCAGCAGCGGCAGCCTCAGTACGCTCCAGGGCCGCTGCAGTTGTTTCACGCCAACCCTAGCAGCAGCATCAGCAGCAACTCGTTTCGCCTGCATTCTAACGCTAGACCGTAGGCAGGCTGTTCACGAAGGAACGACACCAACAGCAACAGCAACTAGTGCAGCAGCAGCAGCAGCAACACACGCTACAGGTCAAGTAAGCAGCCCTGCCGGAGCCCCGTCCGGAACTCCATCACCCATCCTTAGCCCCAGGAATACTTAGGGGCCCCACACCACAGACACTCCCTCTGCTGCCTCTTCAGTCCTAAGGAAAACCGCCGCTACTATCAAGGGGCCGCCCCCTTTCACTATCGTTGGAGAACCCCTTTGCTCGCTACCCTCGGGGTCCCCCCTTCTTTATCACCCTGGCCACCCTCCCCCAAAGCAACTTTACTAATCAAGGGAGCCCCCCTTCACTACCCCTAAGACCCTCACCTTCACTACCCTGGGGGCCCCCTTTCTTCTCTGGGGGCCCCCGTTCTTCGCTACCCAGGGGCCCTCCCTTCACTGTAACTGCCCTGGAAGCGGCCACCTTTAATACCCTAAGAACTTTCACTTTCACTACCTTGGGGGCCCCCCCATTCAATACCTCGAGGGCCCCCATTTCTTCACTGCTCTAGAGGCCCCCCTTTGAGTACCATCGGGGCGCCCCCCTTTAACTGGCTTGGGGCCCACGAGCAAGATGGAGGCCCCTTGCAACTGCGGGCCTCCGCAGGCCTTTCTAACAACCACTAACGATGAAGTAATCGTTTAAGGGCCCCCGACTAAGACACGCAACCCAATCTATTACCCCACGGCCCCCCATTCTGATGCAGCCGTTGCTGTAAACACAGCCACCTAACTCAGATCAAGAAGAGCGCTTCGTTTGAGCAGAAATGCAGCAGCTGCAGCAGCTTTAGCAGCTGCAGCTGCAGCAGCTGCTGCTGCTGCAGCACCTGCTGCCGCTGCCGCTGCTCCTACTTGTACTCGTGGACTTCAAGATGACGATAGTGTGCTACCAACAGATATTCCGCTGCAGCACCAGCAGCGGCACCAGCAGCACCAGAAGCAACGTGCAGGGCCACTGGTTTGGGGGCCCTAGCTACCAATACATCCGTCGTGCTGCTGCTGGTTCTGGCGCCACTGCAGCATTGCTGCAGAGATTGCTGCAGGTACTGCAGCCTTCGCAACTTGCCGCCAGTGGCAGCAGCAGCACCAGCAGCCGCACCTGCAGCAGAAGCAGCAGCAACTGCAGCAACACCAGCTCTAGGTCAACTCTCTCTGCGCCTCCTTCAACAGATGCGCGAGCATCCCAGGCGGGCTCCAGGCCTCGCACTGGTGCCTCCAGAGAAACCGATAGCTCACGGCAGCAGCCGCAGGAGCAGCAGTAGTGGCTGCTGCTGCTGCCGCTACAGCTGAGTTAAAACCCTTCCCACATGACTGTCATTCTCGCAGCCTGCTGGGAGTTCCCTCCGTTTGCCTCGCCAATAAAACAAAATTATGAATACCCAGATGAGGCTGCTGCAAAAGTGTTGGCTGCAGCAGCTGCAGGAGCAGCTGCTGCAGCTGCAGCAGCTGCAACAGCAGCACAAATGCTGGAGCTGCAGCCTGTGCTGGATGCGATCTAACGCGACAAGAAGAGTGCGGTTGTTATGCTCATGGTTTGCGCCCATTTGCGTCGGTTTGCTGCTTGTTGTGTTGCTGCTGCGGCTGCAACAGCAGCTGCTGCAGCTGCTGCTGCTGGCAGTGGAAGCGCGCCGCATGCGAGCAGAAGGCCTCCCATAAGGCCTCGCTGCGTCTTTCTAGAGAATGTCTTGATGTTAAGAATCCATAAACTGCTGCCCCAAGCGCCTCTGACCGCATAGCAGCCCAGGCAGGGGCCTCTACATAGACAAGCACCTGTTGCGCCAGGGCCACCTGCTGCTGCAGCGGCTGCAACAGCATCTTCTGCTGCTGTAGCCTCTGCTGCTGCTCCCCCACTTGCGCAGCCTTGTCCTTCCACCTCAAGTGCGTCTGCAGCCAACATCCCCTGGGCGACCGCCGCAGCGCCGCTAGCTCCACCTGCAGCTTCGCTGTTGCTGCTGCCAGCTGCTGCTGCTGCTGCTGCAGCTGCTCTACGTAGTTGAAGGCGTTCAACATACATTCACTGTCTTCTATCCCTCGATTAACAGCAGCAAGCAGCACATCCAGGTGCTGCTGCTGCGACTGACGCTGACCCAACATCCCACAGAAGAACAAAACAGAAGACAAGTCCTGCAAAGCGTCGCTTCCCGATATTCGAAACCCTTGCAGCAGCACCTGCTGCTGCTGCTGCTGCTGCTGCTGCTGTTTGCCTGGGTTAGCGGAGGCCGTCGAAGCACACACGACGATGTTCGCATCCACACATTGCTGCTGCTGCTGCTGCTGAGATATGCGGCTAGGCGTCACTCCGCTGCCGCGGGTCTCTTTCTGCTGCTGTTGCTGTTGCTCCGGCTTTGCTGCAAGGCCACAAGCTGCATCCGAAGTCTCACTAGCGGTGGTACTGAGTTGCTGTGTCTGCTGTTGCTGCTGTGTCTGCTGTTGCTGCTGTGTCTGCTGTTGCTGCTGCTGCTGCTGCTGTTGCTGCAAGGGCTGTAGCAGCTGCTGCAGCGGGTCTGCGAGGCGGTGATCTAACAGCGCTGCCTGCAGCGCTTCCATGCTGCCTTGCTGCTCCTGCTGCAGCTTGCAAATGCGTCGCAAGTGTCGCTGCAGGAGCGAGAGAAACTGCAGGTGGTGAGACACCAGGGCTTTGCTGGCAGCCATGCGAGGCCCCGCGTCTGCCGCAGCAGCAGCAGCAGCAGCTGCTGCTGCAGCCGTCGCGGGAGAAGGGGGTCCTGAACTCCAACACGGAGGCGGCGGAGACTTTGACGACGGCGAAGTGGCCGTTGCTGCTGCTGCTGCTGGCGTTGCTGCAGCAGCAGCTCCTGCCGCCGCCGCCGCAGCAGCAGCTGCAGCAGCAGCCAATTCCGCAGCGAAGGTTCGTTTGTACTCCGCCAGCTGTTCTTCTAGCCTCTGAAGCTCGGTCATGTGTTGTCTACGCTGCTTCAGGGCCTCAATAGAAAACGCTCCGTCGCCGCTGTTGCTGCTGCTGCTGCTGCTGCTGCTGCTGGAGGGGGTGACCTCCAGCCAGGCGCGGACAACTGAAGTGTTGGCGAGGTGAGGGCGATTAAGCACTCTAGTAAGAAAAGAACAAAGGCCCTGTCTCCTGTCTGCTGCACTCTCTGTCTCCCCCTTGCAGCTGAGGCCCTGCTTCTTCGGCAGCGGCGGTATAAACACCCCCGGCAGCAGCTGCTGCAGCTGTTGCTGCAGCCACTGGAAGTCGCAGTGTCTCCGCCGCACAGCAAACGGCCCCACACCCTCAACTGTGCCTGTTACAGCATACAAAGAAGCGCGTGACCAGAGCGAAGGACCCACTAAGAAGCTGGTGCTGCTGCTGCTGCTGCTGCTGCTGCTGCTCACCGCCTCCGTCACCCGCAGCTCTATACGACGCCGCATGCGCTCTGCTGCACAAAGGCCCCCCCAAAAGGAAGCCTGCAGCAGCTGCTTCAGGACGTCCCCGCAGCAGCAGCAGCAGCACTCCGCACACAGCACCTGCTGGGCACCTGTAGACGCCACGTTGAAGCTGCTGCTGTTGCTGCTGCTACTACTACTGCTGCTGCTGCTGTTGCTGCTGTTCAGCCCCCCGCCCGTGCTGCAGCAGCAGCAAACGGCCCGACCACGCGGCCGCGCCAACCCAATGGAGGCCTCCTCAGGCAGCAGCACTGCGTCTGTAGAGTCTCCTAACGTGTCTGCGGCAGAAGTGCTGCGGCGGCTAACACAGGAAAGACCCGTTGCTGCAGCAGCAGCAGCAGCAGCAGCAGCGGGTCCGTGGGCCAGATGGGGGCAGTCTATGCGGTTGCACGTGCGGGGCTTCGTGGGGTGGCAGGCGCCTGCTACTGCTGCTGTTGCTGCTGCTGCAGCACAATGAGACAATGTATGGCTCTCATCTGTGTGCAGCAACGTGAACGAGTCGAAGACATCTCCTTCGCTGCTAATAGATGGGGTGCGGGCCTCTTGTTGCTGCTGCAGCTCCAACGCAGCCAGCTCCTGCTGCTGCTGCTCCTCCTCCTGCTCCTGCAGTGACAGCAACTCTTCCACCTCATCCTGCTGCTGCAGTTGTTGCTGCTGCAGCAGCAGCTTGCTGCTGCACAGAGACGAGAACCCAACACCGTTCCGCTCCCCAGACACTGCAGAGCGGACGGGCACTTGCCCTGGAGACGTCACAGGATCCTCAACAGCAGCAGAAGTAGCAGCAGCTCCTGTTTCTGCTGCTGCTAATGCTGGTGTAGACGCTCCTGCTCCTCCCGTTGCTGCTGTTGCCGCTGCTGCTGCCGTGTCCGCCCCATTAGCTGAGTTCACAAATGATGCTAAGGGGGACTCTTCGGAGGCCTCAGAGGCCTCTGTCCTACGACCGTTTACCCGCTCCTGCAGCTGTTCCTGCTGTCGCTGCTGCTGTCGCTGCTGCTGCCGCTGCCGCAGCAACGGTTGCTGGCGATGCTGCTGCTGCAACGCTGTTGCTGCTGGCTCATCTGCTGGTGACGCATTGCCCGTCTGGGCTGTCGTGGCGGTCTCTGACTCGCTGCTGCCCATTACTGCCCCTGAACTTCCGCATAGGACTGCTGGCTGCTCCTGCTGCTGCTGCTGCTGTTCCTGCTGCTGCTGCTGCTGTTGCTGCGACGCAGTGCCGTTCGCAACGCCACCAGACGCAGCTAACTGTGCAGCTGCTGCCGCAGCAGCAGCAGCGGCAGCAGAAGCCGCAGCACTTGCACGCTGCTTGCTGTTGCTGGCCCGAGAGCCTCCAGCTAGTCTTCCCATCTTGCTCCGACGGGTGCTGCAGCAGCAACAGCTGAAGCAGCAGCGATTGCTGCTACTACTGCCGCTGCTGCTGCAGGAGGTTCTGCTTCGCGAAGGAGCTCTCAGCTCAAAGGGACGGCTAAGGAGCGGCGAAACAGATCACTAATTGCTGCTGCTGCTGCTGATGCTGCTGCGGCTGTTACTGCTGCTGCTGTTGATGCCGGTGTTGCTGCTGCTGCTGCTTTCCCTTGGGCGGTGCGTACGTACGCCCCCGCACGGTCAGGCGGGGCTGCGGCTGTTCAGGCCGAGGGAAAGGGCCCTGGCCTAGAAGGCAGCCGCAGGTGCAGCAGCAGCTTGCTGTCTGCAGCAGCGGAGCCGCTGCAGCTGCTGCTGCTGCTCTAAAAGCAGGGAGAGCTGTGGGGGGAGGCCCCTTCTACTGATGGTGTGGCTCGCGAGGCCATCAGAAAAACCAGATGAGCAGCAGTCGCAGCAGAAGTGCTTGGCTGCTGCTTCCTGTACAGGCAGTTGTGCGCTGCTTCTGCTGCTGCTGCTGCGCCTTCTGCTGCCGCCGCTGCTGCTGGTGCTGCGGTGCAGCAGACAACTGTGTTGTTGTCACTAATCGCCAACTGGGAAGTGCCAGATGGGTGCTGCTGTTTGCAGCTCGGCCCTCTGCTGCTGCTGCTGCTGCTGCTGCTGGTGTGACCACCAGGGAGAGCCGCAGAGGCAGCCTCGTGAGTGCAGCAAAAGAGATGTCTATTTGGGGATGAAGAACAAATAAAAGCAAGATGAACAAACTGCAGAAGATGAAATCGACAGGCTTCAAAGAAAGCCTTCGTTGTTCCGGGCGTGTGCAGCAGCAGCAGCAGCAGCTGCAGCGCGAGCGCGGGACGATGGGAAGCAGCAGCTCACAGCCTGCACTGCGTCGCAACCGGAGTAAATGAAAAAGAAAGAAAGCAATCGAATAAAGTTTAGAAAACAATCAACAAAACAACGAGAACAAGCACCAACCTTAAACACCAAACTTTGCTGCCACCCAACAGCCAGTGCGGCGGCGGTCGGCGCAGCAGCAGCAGCAACTGCAGCAGCAGCTGCAGTTGTTGCTGCGGCTCGCGCCGCTGCGGCTGAAGCAGCAGCAAAAACAAATGCAACAACGAATAAGCAGACAAGCCAAAAGACAAACAACAAACCAATGGACATTTAAAAGAAACACATCTAAAGTGAAGCTGCTCTAGCAGCAGATAATACACAAATTGTTGTTGCCTGCTGCTGCAATGTACGCGAGGCTGTTGCTGCTGCTTCTGCTCCCTCTCCGCGGCAACAGCTGCTTAACCCCGTTGTCTTTAGTTAAAAATATCTTCATCTTAATTTCTTATTGACCTGCACGGCCACTCAGTGCACCCCACAGCAGCAGCAACACCGGCAGCAGCAGAAGCAACAGCAGCAGCAGCAGGAGCAGCCCTAAGAGCGGCAAGACCAGTGGTGGTGGGGCCTCTAGGCTGAGGGGCCCCAGCAGACCGTCCCTGCTGCTTCAGCTTGCTGGGGGCTGCCGTTTGTTTATTTCTTATTTTTTAAAATTAATATTAAAAAGGAAGAGCAGTAAGTTATACCAAATACGCGAAGCAGCCAGTGTGAGCTGTCCCGCTGCAGTTGCTCCCCCGCAGCAGCAGCAGCAGCAGAATCGGCAGCAAGACACACAGCATATAGCCAGCTGCAGCGGCTGGTGGTTCCCCTTGCTTCTTCTGGTGTTGCTGTAGTTTCTGTTGCTTTAGCTGTTGTTGCCACCGCAGCCGCCGCTGCTGCTGTTTCGCACGACGGGGCTGCTGCTGCAGCAGCAGTAGCTGCTGCTGCTACTGCCGTTTTCCCTTCGTGGGATATGGCGAAGGGGTCCCCCAGTGGCAGCCGAGCACAGGCAGGAGCGACAGAGGAGACAGCACCACCGGCGGCAGCTGCAGCAGCAACAGCAGCAGCCGGCCCACTCAACACCGCAGACGTAGAAGTGTCGCCTTGCTGTGCCCCAGCGGCTCCTTCAGCAGCTGCTTCAGCTCCATCCGGATCAGAAGCAGCAACAACTGCTGCTGCAGCAGCATCATCATCATCATCAGCAGTAACTGCTGCTGCCTCAGAGCCTCCTCTGTCAAACTTTACCTTGCTGGTTGGTCGGCGTTATATTCTCGTTGTGGGAAGCACAGACCGTCTCCCCGCAGTTCACGATGCAGCACAGCAGCAGCAGCAGCACCAACAACAACAGTTGCTGCTTCATCCACTGCGGCAGCAGGATGAACAGCAGCAGCAGATTCAAAAATGGCTGTTGGGGGGAGACGGGAGGACGTGGAGGCGTCTGCATTCTTTGCTGCTGATACACAAGCAGCCGACGCTCCAGCAGCGGCAGCACATGAAAAGGCACTTCTATTCGCAGCAGCAGCAACAACAGCAGCAGCAGCAGCATCAACATTGTTTCCACCGGCCTCCGACGTGGGAGCGGATAGGCCGAAAGCTGATGACAACAGAGGAAACAGCAGGCTGCCTGAGGAACAGTTAGCCGTCCTGCTGCTGCTGCTGCTGCTGCTGGTCTTGGTGCTGCTTATGCTGCGGAGCACGTTTTTTCCGTTGCTGTGCATCTAAGCTGCAGCGCTGGTGCTTCTGCTGTTACTGCTGCTGCTCCAGGGCATGGTATTTCTGCTGCGCTGTGTCTGTACTGCAGCGCTGCGGCTGCTGAGCGATCAGCCGCAGCAGCACATTTGCTGCTCGGGGCTAATCGGTTTCTTACCGCTTGTCTGCGGCTTCCATCTCGTTGCTGCTGCTGGTGCACAACCCGTAAGACGGCCACAGGAGCAGCAGCAACAACAGCAGGGAGAAGAGTGGCATGCGTTGGCTGCTTGACGGCAGCCGCAGCAGCGGCAGCCGTAGCTGCCTT